CAAGCGAACATTTTACTTTTGAACACCTTGTTTTTCGCTCAAGAGAGCCCTACCACTCGCCCAGGCACTCAGGAGATACATACGCCCAAAGTCTCCACAAAATGGTATACAATGGAACGGAACAATAGGATACTCGAATAATGGAACAATATAAGAATCAAATTTTTCGAATATTTAAATTTCAGAAAAATTCAAAAATCAATTCTCTGACTTATTCTGCTAGAATAACTTTGTGTGCCAAGCCTTCTAAGTTGCTAATTGAATTATGTAATCCTTCTAATTTCCTATAAGACCTGCTACATAATAACATCGCCTGACGCATTGGCACCATAGTGTTTGTGCCGTAATTTTCATGCATTAATGAATAACACTTCAATTAAAGTAACTATAAACCCACACTTTACCATTATGAATGAGTCAAACTTCTTGATGTTTTCGATAAAATCAAATATGTCCTTCGAATCGACAAGTCAGATTTGAAATACCCAAATATCAAATCTCGGATAATTTGTAAATTGAAGACTTCGAATATTCGAATTTCCAAAATTCTACGAAGAGTTTCGAAAAATCACATTTTCGAATGTGAATGTTCTATGCAAGCTAAACCATTCGAACTGTCAAATAACTATTCGATTCAGTGCAAGTATATTGCCTAAACAACTCAGAATTGCAAATAATTTTTAAAAATCGGACTAGATCTCACACGGGCATTAAATGCCGATTTAACTACTGCACAACATTGAATTCGGAATAAGTTTCTTTGCGATCATGACAAAAATTTGCTGAAAATGTAAAAATGCCATTTGAAAGCGAATGCTTAAATTCATTTCTCAATGAAATTGGCGTTTACCACTGCGCCAATGTTTTCCTAACATTATGCTACTTTTCGTACTTAATCAAAGCTTAGAAAAGCAGTTGTGAATCTTCTAAGATATCTCTGGCAGACAATGGATACGATTTGGAACATGACTCCACCCTTGTTTCATTGAAAATACTTCTCTTGAACGCCAATACGACCAAGTCTTTCTTCGAGATTTGCGTTTGACATCCCGAATGAACATAGCCCGCGCTCATCTAAAGAAACTTTTTGGTGCAAAAAAAGTAAAACATCACTGTAGTATTTCCGCCATTTGTAACTCCTATAGGTAACTAACTCATACCTTTTATGTAGTGAAATTATTAATTCGTGCTTTTAA